ATTTAACTTGTGAGTCTGGGATTTTAAACAATCGATTTTAAAATCATTGTAATATAGTGACGTTATTTGATGGATTCGCCATTCTGCATGTTTCCAAACTTACTAACACCACTTAGGGTTGGAAGATCTGAATCTGGGTTTGCAATGATGGAAGTGACCTTCAATTAAACTGTTCGATTCTTATTTTCTAGATTTATGCTTCACTGACACCTGTCATCAGGACACATGGTTTTCTTATATTGATCAAAGCGTCAGATGATTACGGAGTAAGGCCATAAATTAATCTAATAACTTATCACATACAACCTTCTTGAATAAAAAACATATACTCAACACTTTTCTAAACACTTTTATGAGAATTTATCTATAAAGAAAATTTAAAACAAATCATTGTAACAGTCCAAGCAAATGGCGTAAACTTGAAATATATTCATTTAAAGAATCCCGCGGAATCTTAAATACATTCTTCAAAATGAATATTTAAACAAGTTTCAGGATTGTTTTCCGAAAAAATATTAGATTTTAAGTTTCCTTTGTGAGTTATAACATTAGAAAAACACTTATCTCATAGCATGAAACTAAATAAAAAGTGGCTTAAGGCTTAAGCTAGTGTTTCAGTAATAAAATAAAATAAAGGGACTTGCTTTAGTTTCTAGCACAAAGGAAAAGCGACTCTTAGAGACGAAAAGATAATAACTTCTTTAACGTTATTTCTTCGTAAGAGAGAAAAGGCAATTTTGCAGTAGACCAATACCCGCCTTATGACATTCTGCTATTAGTGAGATTCCTTTATGTATCAAACTTGGTCCATAATGTAACAGTAGACGAGATATGATGTTTAGTTAGGGAATGACATCATCAGGGAGAAATCTTTAAAAATATTAAAAATCTGATTGCTTTTGTTTCATGCTTAAAATTTTTTTAAATTTTAAAAAAATAAATAATGATTAAAGAAATTTAAATCAAGGGAACATCAAGTGTAAAAATTGTAGTTAAATGTATAATATGTTGTTAAAAGTCATTTTGTTAACTTTAGTCTTCAGTATTAGTTGGGTGAAAAGGAGAAACATATTTATTTTGGGAAGTAATAAGCACCTTATGCTTTAATGCAGCTTGTCTATTTTATATCCAATAAAACATAAACACTATTACAATCCAACCAATAAAACTTTAAAAATATCATCTTTAACTCACCAAATTTGCTTATCCTCATTTAGTTATGTATCATCAATAAGTCAAAGTGGATTTTCTTTCAATTATCGTATTAAAACTAAGTACAGTACTTGTAACAAATATTTTTACAGGATTGTGTGCATACTAAACTCAAATATTAATTTTTTTACAAAATTCTAAAACTAAATAATATAAAACTTGTTGTTCAATAAGCCTGTTTAACTCCTCTACGTGAGGTCACGTTAATCTTGAAGCCTGGAGTTCATGAGCTCCGAGTCCCTGAATGGGATTAAATTTCCTTTGTTGATGTTTAAGGCAGCATCCTTCTAGCTTAACCTACACCTGGCGTATCGCACCGTTATATGGTTATAATTTGAATTTAAATTTGTCTTATTTAATTTATTAAAATAAGTGGTATGTAGAATAGTGTGGGAAAACTTTGTTTACAACTTTCTCCTAGTTAAAAGAAAATGACTTACAATCTACTTGTAGCTGATAAATTTAAGAAATATTTTATAATCACATTTTAGAGACAGTTTGAGTAAAAGCTACCCTACATAAATATTAAGATGTATTTAATTGAAGTTATTATGTTATGAAGTTATTATAGTTTCAAAGACATCTATAATTAACATGCTTTCAACCTAAAACGACTTTTTTAAACTTATAGGTTATGTCCATGTGTGAACCCATTAATGTTTTACCTGCTTTTATAAAGCATGGGTGCCTCATAAACAAAACTAGCCTTTGAATCTTATGTAGGTTTATGTCATTCATCGATTGATATTTTAAATGGAATTCGGACTCAGCGCCAATATTCTGAGGTACACATAAGCAAAAACAAACATATACTTGTGTTCAAGCCGAGACACATAAAGTTTATGAGGCGTCGGTTTTTTAGTTGGCAATTTGCCAATCCGTTGTACTTGTAGCAATTGCCTTGTTATTGTTCAAAGAGAACTGTTTCAAATTATGCCAGTCCAAATATAAGGTTATAGATAAGATTATTAAAGAAAGAATACAAGCACATAAAGAACTAACATTCTATTACATATAGTAGACAAATATCCATCGGTGGTTTTTGATTTTTAATATGGGTTTTGAAATATTGATGAAATAAAGTTCAAATCTCCAATTTATATAATTTCACATAATTTCCTTTATCACTTACAAAATCCAAAGATATTTACTACATTGTTGGTCACAAGCAACTTATATTCTTAAAATTTGAAAACGCACAGTACGTCATTCAAATAACTACTTGACGCATACAAGCTCTATTTTTAAAGAAAATTCGCGTACTATAATTAATTTAAAACTTATAAAAAATATAAACATATAATTTTTAAATTTGTTTGGCAATATTCAAGTGAAAGCTAGATGTATAAAATTATTTTTAAACAAAACTAAGAACTAAACTGTCCTTGGAACAATACGGATAGTAAATATAATATAATTTAATTACTCGAAATGTTCGATACATTTTTAATATTTACATTGATAAAGATCAATATAAATACCACTCTTATTATTAAAAAAAATTATGTTAAGCGATTATCATAATACTTAACTCATAAATATGCATTACATACAAACATTCTATAAAGTTTTACCAAACAAATTATACCAAGAATTAAAATAGTGAGAAAAATAAAAAAAAATATTGAAGAAATTGAATTATGAAAAACTTATAAATGTTGTATCCGTTCAATATTTTACCAAACAAGTAAAATATTATAATATATAATATCTGAATCACATTTTAAAATTTAAATGCAATTTATCTTAAATATTTTTCAATACATGGTTTATGATAGTGATTTAAAGGCGTCGTCTTATTCATATAAATTAGTATTATAAAGAAAAATACGAAACAAATGATAAAATAAAATAACATTTCAACTGGGGGGGGGGGGGGGGGGTTATATGAGAATGTATAAAGTAGGGGCTTGGCTGACCTTGTTTACGTTGCTCTAACGATGTCTCTATCACTAATTAGCCCCTTACCATTATGTGGCAACAAAAGCTTTGTTATAGTTACAATGATAGTTACCATATGTCACCCTAGTCAATAAATATATTAGTCTATTCAGATCCATTGTGACAGTAATATATATTTTGTGATGTTGAAGATAAGATATGAGGTTCTCTTTGAGTGATGGGGCATAGATTAGTAATGATTTGGCAAAATATTTAAACGGAAGCGTAAAGTAGAGCTAAATTTCCTGTGATGGAATTTCCTCTTCTTCTTTTGGTTGTTAAAAGAGAAAAATAGATTTTTTACCTGTGCAGTTAAAATTATGTGCTGAATATTAAAAATATGAAAATTAAGTATTATGTTTGTATGGTACGTATAAAAACTTAAGATTCGTAATTCAAAAAACTGCAAAGCCTATTTTAGTATCACAAGGGTTTTCTAAAAAGTGTAGCTTAGTAGCTTTTATAAAGTCTTACAGTTTAAACAAAAGTTATCGATCTGATAAATACCTCCTTCAGTAACTTATTTACAAGAAAAAAATTAATTATGTATAATAAGTAAACGGAGATTGAAAATATCTAATAACATATACTATTTTGCAGCTTACTATTAATTAAATACCTTTAATAAGCTTAAGACCTTTAATTTTATCAACGTCTTACCTCACTTACAACTTCAAAATACATCTAAATATTCCAGTAGTTTGTGTTAGTAAAATAAAATATAATTTCGATATTAAGCAAATAGGTTTAACCTAAGGAAAATGAGATGCAGTAAAAAACGCAAACAGCTTCACGAAACGGAAATGTTCGTATATTTCTAACCTAATATAACTGACCAATATTTTGTATGTTGTAAGTGAGCAAACAACTAACGGTTACTATGTGGCCTGTTTTCAAGCGGTAAATACACTATGAACTGCTGATGTTTTTCACTTGACTGGTTCTATTTCCCCCTAGAGACTAAAAACCTGACTTTAGCTCCGCCAATGCGTTGCAAACAACCATTTCTCCTAAATATTATGAAACTCATCTTTAACTGATAGTTACGCTTAATAAAATCAACCATAATATTTATGTAACGGTCTTTAATACAGCCAGTACATGAAACAAAGGTTCTTTTCTAATACATAAAGGATGTCCCGTAGAAGAGGCTCATGATAGAAAATAATTAACTCGGACAAATTCAAAATTTCAAATTGGTGGCTATTACATTTTTAATAAAAATGGCTTATTTTACGAGAACATTAAGAACACTATTAGTATTTACAGTTTCCTATCAAACGACACGAATTTCAAAAAGCTAAAATACTGAAAATAGTCTAAATATCATTTATACTAGATTTATTCTACCTCGTTGAAAAAAAACGTGATACTTCAGTTACTTTATATTCGATCTTTTTGAACTTGGAGCGTATAATAAAACATCGAAACTTAAAAAAAAAGTGTTTCTGACATTTCTTTCATAACATTAGACGTTAGCATTCTCGTTTAGATGAAATATTTGTTTGGACTTATTTATTTTGGTCTAGCAATGGTATTAAGCTTAACAATCTTAAGTACTATCCCAAATGCCCATAATACCCATATTTTATTAAATCAGTTAAAACACATCTTCGAGTAACAAGCAACAATTCAGTCTATTTAGGTTTAATACCTGAACCTCAGTAAGCTCGTTGGGTTTCAAGCAGATTTATTCACAATAGACTTGAGAGTAATGATTCAGCCATTATTGTTGAGAACTTGCTTGAGAACGGATTGCAGCTTTGCTATATTGTTACAAACATCTCACTTATATAACAATTGAATTTTAATACACAAGCTGTAATAAAATATTATATTGTTTACAGATGAGGCCTCTATGTCGTCGCAAACGGTTCAAGTGTTGAAGGAAATGGTAATAAAAAGGTAATATGATTATGTAATTCATATTTTAAACATAAAACCGCCAATGAAACAGTTTGAGGAACTTTTAGTCATGTATACATTAGTTGAAGGCAGGAACATAGAACTGGGATTTAAAGCCAAAACGTTCAGACCTAACGTTTCGTCCATTTCATATTGAAATCTCTGTCTTGCATAGACACTTTTATATTTTTGTCAGATAGGCACTTAAGTGTTTTGTCTTCAGGGAATATATACACTTTTGGAATGTAGAACCTACTACTTACAAAATCCCAGAACGACATAGTTATTAGTCCTATTGTTTATCATTAAGTGATTTTTTCCCATGTACATTATTGTGTCTTCAGGAAGTAAATTTTAGTGGTTCATAAGATATGAACCAATTATTGTTTCAATATAATATTTGCTATCATACTGTTTTGATAAATCTTCAACTTAACTTTAATTTTACATCCTCAATTCCGTTTTCAGCCTATAAGATGATGATCCACCGGTCAGCGTCGTCGCGGCGTCGCCGGGCGTCGCGGAGTGCGGCGTCGTCACCCCACAGGAGTCAGACGCTGAGGAGGCCCAGCGTGGCCGTGGGGGCGACCACTCCCACAGGGTCTGCGCCCAGCCTGGAGGCGGCGCCGCGGGCACGACGAGCCAGCATTGCCAGCGTCACCCCCTCCGAAGAGCTAGCGGTGGCAGGGGTCAGGGGAGTCACGGTGACCGCTGCCGAGGAAGACACCAGCGACTACGGCCACGACAGTGACGACAACCTCAACGATGCCAACCTGATGCCGGACAACTACAACCGTAGCCCGAGGTCGAGTCTAGTGCCCGAGGGAAACAGCAGAAGTCGCAACAGTCTCGTGCCAGAGTCCGGCCAGTTCAACCGCAGCAGAAACAACCTTGCGGTCGACAACTTTAACCGCTCACCCAGAAACAGCTTAGTTCCGGACACGGGGCGGAGTCCTAGAAACAGTTTGGTCCCCGATTACAGCAGAAGCCCGCGAGGGAGTTTGCTGCCCGATGTGGAACAGTTCAGCCGGAGTGCGCGAAACAGTATGGTGCCGGAAGAGTACGGTAGAAACTCCAGAAACAATTTGGTTCCAGACAGTGCGTACTCGAGGAGTGCGAGGAATAGTCTAGTGCCGGATGTGAGTCCTAGTAGGTCGCAGAGGAACAGTTTGGTACCTGACCCTACGAGGAGTCCTAGAGGTAGTTTGGTTCCGGAACCCAACACCTCTAGGAGTCCCAGGGGAAGTATAGTTGGGGACCTCGCCTGTCGTAGCCCAAGAGGGAGCATCGGTCCCGACCTGGGAGTTTCGAGGAGTCCGAGAGGCAGCATAGCCTCGGAGGCGTCCTTCAACCGAAGCCCTAGGAATAGCCTTCCTCTCCAGGACGGTCTGTCCTTAGGCAGAAGTCCAAGAGGAAGCCTGTCATCAACAGGAGGCGGTCTCTTCGACTCCACCAGAAGTCCCAGAGGCAGTATTGACATGAATGCTCCAGGTATGGTTACAGAAAAATTCTCTTATCTAACATAGTATAGAATAAATCCCTATTGAAGTTTAAACTATTTGCTGGTATGCTCAATTCCATTTTGGTGCTATTACGAAACTCCAGTAAATCCCTGGCTTAAAACTAACGATATTGCTGATTAGATTGCTTTGCCTAAACAGATTAATGCGTCCATTCCCTACTTGCACATAACAATAGATAATTGTGTGTATAGATGTGATAACCACTTACTGGTTGTTAAAACAAAAGGGGTTTATGATGCAATGTGACTCCGAAATTTGCTAACTAATGTACGATACATCGCATAGTTTTGATTTGTGTTTTCTGTACCCATTATAGGTTTGAAATTAGCAATCATAAAAAATCTAAAGTTTAAGAGTTTCAAAAGTGTTTACAGGGTACATCCGATTAAGATTGATTACTACCTTTATATTACTACCAAGGAAGAAAATGAGTTTCGTAGGTACCTTTACTAATGTACTAATGGTAGTTTAGACTTGTTTACGAATCTATGATTTAATCAAAATTCAGTAACTGACTTAATAATGAAGAGACTCGACAAAACATAACAATGAATAATTAAATATAGGCTACCGTCAAAAACATTTGGCTTTTACCTCACAACAAAAGTAAAAAATACTAAATGACATCGACACACACAAATTGACAAAAAAGTGTTATTGAGTAAGATAGGGTAATCGTTTCTCATAACGTTATATCCAGCAATCTCCTCTTCCACCGCTCTATGTAGTCATAGATGATGGTTTTAGGCACATCCAGAGCGGCAGGTTCCAACAGAAGTCCCTCCCCGTACCGCATGGCTGCCAGAGGTGCCCAGGGGGCTCTCAACTCCACGGACGCCGGGGGATCTCGCCGAGCGAGCAGCAGCGTGTCCCAGGTGAGCACCTAGACATCTAGACATCTGGCTCTGCATTGTGACATGGTTATAGATAGCATACAGCCTTGGGACACATTTATGGACATTGAATAAAAAAAAAATATAAAAAACTATCAGGGCCTTCCTATTAATGCCACTTGTTGCTCAGCATCTATTAGGAGGTCTTCCTAACAGTGTCGCTTGTAAAAAGTTGTTATTAATTTGGTCTTTCTACCATTGTTTGTTATTAATTTTTCCATTAATAGGGGTTTCCTATAAATGTTGCTGGTTACTAAATATCTATTGAGAGTAGGCCTATATTTATACCAATGTCACTTGTTACTAATTATCTATTAAGAGTGTACCCCTATCAATACTTTCTGTTAATATGAACATATAAAGAGAGTGTTCTTATCAATGCCACTTGTTACTAAATATGTTGACTTCATTTTATCAATAGTGTTTGTTACTAAATATCTGTAAGGAGGGCCTTTCTGTCAATGACGGTTTTAACATAATAAGACGGTCTTCCTTTTAATAGCATTTGTTAAAAATGTTTATTGAAAGGGTCAATGGTGCTTATTACTAAATGTAATTTTAAAGTGTCTTCCTATCAATGATGTTTATAAAAGAATTTCCCATTAAAAGACTCTAGTTGTTAAGGATGTCATTGTTCCTCCAAGAGCCTATAACCACAGAGGGGGCTTAAAACTAAAACTTTACTAAATCATTACAAATGCATCGAAGATTGTTTCTTATTAAAGTTGTACTTAGACGCTCATGCTATAAAGGGTGATTGTTACCTTAATTCCACTATTGAGGGAAGCCTTAAGCCTTGCTATTGAGGGGGCTTGCAACTAAAGTTTTCAAGGGCTCTAGTTTTCAAGATCACTTCTTACTAAAGCTTTAAGACGCTGCTACCAAGAGTGCGTTGCTAAACATCTCATATGTTACTATCACTGTCGAGGGCGCTTGTAACTAGTCTAGTGGCATGTTAGCATAGCGGCGCATGGATGTTAGAATGGTCTGAGAGGATGATGGTTCAGCCGGTGGTTCCACAGGTATCAGCTGATGACCGCAAACACCTTTGTGAACACACCAAGCTAACAGCTGACACAGGGCTGGGGCTGAGCGCCTACGGGTCTGTCGTCTACCAGCTCAACCACGCCAACATGGAGTCTTCCGGTCTCTGCGACTTCGTCTGCCGCGCCCTCGGCATAGTCTACCGCACAGGTTAGAGAACTGATTGTAATGTATGCTATAGAGTAGTCTAGTTCAATCTAACAGAAAAGTTTGATTAAGGCCTTTATAGTTTTATGTAGGACTTATTGGTTTTTACAAATGGACAGCCATTTTACAGAGCATTAATAGCTGTCTCTGAAAATGTATATTCAATTTGTAGATAACATGTTTTAAAATGGAATCCTAAAGCAACAATGAATAATAAATTGAATAGGTTATAGTAAACTTTAGTATTTCCCCTCTTTAGTCGAATAACTAGAACATTTTTCATTCAAATAGTTTTGTTATTACGAATCGAAACCTCAATACAAAACGCATGATAAAGTGGCTAAGAATACTTTTGCCACTAACCATGACCATGTTTCTACAAGTTTATAAAGTATTAATCCAAATCTTGGTATCACATTTATACATAAACATAACCGTGCGTTATACGACGTTTTTACCTCGTATTGTTAACTGAAGTTTTACTCAAATATATCAGTATCGAATAGCGTAAATATAAACAGGATCCATCTAATTATGAAGTACTCCTGAGTTACAACAATGAAAAAGTTTAAATTGAGGAAAGCTCTACCCACGTTACTAGTTACAGTTGCCCTGGTTCCAAGAACGTATTATTTATTATTTCAAGAACCCTGATTCGTTTGAAATGTTTTGTATTAAGATCACCAGTGAAAACAAAGCTGACGATCTAAGGGCAGAATATCTTAGTTCTTTGTTTCCAAACATCAGGAATTTAGTTAGTTGTATAAGCGTCGTCAAACTGGCTAGTTAGTTTGTTAGAAAAGTATTAATTAAAATTCAATATAATGAACATTTTGGACGTAATTTAATAAGCAGTTAATCTATGAATGTGAGTTTAATATCTGAATTTGAACGGATGGTGTTTTGGCTCTGGGGATATCAAAACGAAAAATAAATCAATCTCGTGTCTAGGTCTTACCATGAGACGTATACGCTAAAAGCTAATCCCCCCTATGGGAAATTCGCAAACCAATCTTGATTTTTGTCACATAGAGATGCATGCATTCCTTACTTACAAATATACTGTACACTTCATCCAACAACATTACTTTCTAAGATGTAGCATTCAACCATATGTATTGTTATATTGTATTGTTGTAATTGTTATTTCCAAACATGTAAATTAACATTGTTTCTTATGTTCCAGTCGTCGTAACAGTTGTTCTTGTTTGCCTTACCGCTTTACCCATCGTCATGTTCATAATGGGTAAGTAGTTCTCTACGTTATTTTATTAATGTAGTTTGAATGAGATAATTTAAAAAATTTTTCTTTCTTATCATATTCCCTCCTATCTGTCACCCCCTCTGTATCAGGAAGGTAAAGACAATAATTAGTATTATTATAATCTAAGGCTTACCTTACTATCCAATTGATATCAATTGGATCGTAAGGTAAGCCTTAGATTATAATAATGATTAATAACGATCCAGAGGCTATTTCTCCAAATAATTAGTAGTTGATTTTACGAAAGACTACTTTTCAACAAATTGACAACGTTTGAAAAATATGTTTAAACATTGCAACTAGCCATTATATATCACTTTCCTTTTAAACAAACCATCGTTTGCTAATGTAAATTCCATATTGCCTGTGATTAAATAAAAATCTATGAAATTCTTGTAATCGTGTATTTTTGTGTTAGCTTTGATGGATGTGGTGTAATTTTTCAATAGTCTTTATCTGAAAGGTTAATGAAGTATACACCCTAACGTAGTATAACTGTCTAGATCCATTATACATACATAAGATGAAAATGCGTAATAGTCTAACGTAGATACAAAACTCAAATAAATATTAAAGATTTAAACATAAGAATATACCAAACACTATGTAATAAGATTCAAATTTAGAAGACAGAGACGATGTAGTGGTTAAAGTCAAAGGGGTTTATCCCGTAAAATACCGGGAATCACCTATTTGTGTTAACCACGTGATAATTTTGTGGCTTGAAAGTTTCAATTCCAGAGGTCACCTATCTAGGATGATCTACTGTTAGATGAAAATATTTCACATGTTAAAGAGTTCTCATTAATCACTGCCCAGTAGCTTTTATCATCATCTACGAGATGGTGGAATGGTACGACCGTTTGAAAACCACTTTAAGTTTAGGTTACTTAAAAACAGACAAGGCACCTTTGCTCCATGACGGGAACGTTTTATGTATTTGGGAACTTCCTTCAGTTTAGTATAAAGCTTCCTAAATGTTTTTTAGTATAAATTCCTTATTTCGTAAGCTATAATTATAATTACACCAAAAGGGGTGTTGTTCCGTTGCAGTAGTTGTTTGTAGCTAGAAAAGGATTCAGTCAACTTCAAGGTCTCTGGTAACAGCTAAAATATCGCAAATAACATCTTAATAAAATCTAAGGATGTAATTAAAATTTAAGGCGTAATATTTTAAACTTTTTTCGCCCTCCAGGTATTCAATTCGTCCGAGACTGTCCCAAAGAGCCGAACATCCCTGTCTACATGATCGTCGGAGGCAGTTTCGGCACAATCAAGATCTTCTGGATGCTTTGGTGCCAAGTCAAGTCCCGGAGGTACGAGCGACTCGACGGGCGCAACAGATCTCGTCCTGCCGAAGACGGGTTGTCCACCTCCGCAGGATCCAGGATAACCAACTTCCTCCTCTCGTCCTTCCTCATCGTCTGGTTCGTCCTGGGGAACCTGTGGATCCTGGGCATCTACTGGCCGCCCTTCGAGCCGACCCTGAGGGACCCCAATCGCTGGTGTCACAAGACGCTGTATGTCTTCTCTCTAGTTCACCTGGTCGTCGTCTACTCACTACTGGGCGTCGTCGTGCTCACGGTCATAGTCATGGTGGCTTGTCAAATCTGCATTTGTCCTTTATTGATCAGCTGCAAGTAATACATATCTTCGGCATTCTGTAGTTTAGGCGTTAGAAGTTTTGGTTGAGATTTTTAAGGTTTTGTAACACGTAGGGTAGGGTTTAAGGTTTCTAAGAGGGGAGGGTTTGTGGTCGCATGTATATTTTGGTGAAATGTTAGAACTTTCAGAAAATTCTTTTTGAAATATGTTTATTGATAAAACGGTGTATAAATTATGAATTATTCTTTTGAAACAGTAAACCAATTTGATAACATTTAACGCTCAATATAAGTTTTGTATAATTTTTCACAAATACGAATACGGTTCTACAGTGACAATGTTTTAAAACCACATATTTACGCACGGTAAACGTTTGGAAAAAATATATATCTTTAAACGCACAAGTAATCTTTGAACTTATCCAAACTCTTTGAAAAATAAACTATTTTCTTAATGTCCTATCTTTACATCCTAGGACGCTAGTTCTAGTCCAGAACTGTTCACACTTAAGGCTAGTACTAGAGGATTATGGCGTCATCACATAGATAAAATCCGATGGTGATTTGTGGTATTTGAACCCGGGACCTCGGGCACCGGAGCCCCGAGCTCTACTACTGGACCTCCTCGCAAGTTGCACTATAGAACATATCAAACTGATTAAATCTATTTGCATTTCCTCTTACCACAATTCAAGAAAATACCACATGTGCGAATTTAATGCAAAGAACCTCTCTTAGGATCCTATGATCTGATTCCTGTCTCAATACTCCTTCATAATTCTTATTGATCTCTTTAAAGAAGTGTAAATTTTTTCTCCTATTGTGCATTTTTAAAGTTTATTATCTCTAATAGTACTGAAGTAACATAGATATTTTATTGAATTATTATTGATAACATAACCATATTTCTGCTGCATTCTTGAGTTAAAATTTATACAAATCAGCCTTATATTACATTTTAGGACCAATTTTGGACCAAAAGGATCCAATGTGGAGATTCATTTAATTCTCTTTCATGTACATAGCTTTCTTATCTTGACTTAAGCTATCCTTGTAATATGATAAAGCAAAAGAGTTGCCGTTGTGAGTAACATTTTAATCTTTGTGTATTGATAAAATTAAGAACTGATTTAAACACAGAATCTATGGGATATTCTTACATTTCTACCAACTGTAAATATAATCCTCAATATATAAATGCCTAACTCTTATTTTGTTTCGATGACAAACTAAGTAACAATACTTAAATTATCTTGTAATTAATGGTAGAATACAACGATAAATTATATAAATGGCAAAACGGGTAAGAAGATGAAAGTACCTGAATGAAGTGCTGGAGAGGGTCTAATGTAAACTTTAGGGTGTTAGGAAAACATGGAGTGAGTTTTAATATGGTGTGTACAGTATGATAAATTGTCAGACAAATTATTAAGTCTGAAAAATAACTCAAACCTCAGTTAAAAGTAAATTTGTATAGCCTAACTACTTTTGCAAGTAACATACAATTTACTATATTTTACTGGGCATCTAAACAAAACGAAAGCTCAATCATTCAAAATGTTTTTTGTCCAAATTATTAGATTGTCTGAAATTGTTTCAAAGATAACAATTTAAACCATGAACCCAATTTATAAAAATATACAGATAAATATAAATATTTCTCCAAAAAATTACTTTGGATGTAATTAATGTATACAATAACTATTTAAAGAATTGTAAAATCATGAAAACTTTTCCTACAAGTTGAATTCATCTTTGTTTAGAAAATATAAAGGTATATTATTTAGACAATAATAAAACATATCCTCTGCATACTTTGAAAATTGTTATTAAAGTTTATGTGTTACACGAGTCATTTAAAGGTACTACATATAACTTGGCATTAAAACTTAAATATATTTGAGTTTAAGAAAAAATAAAGTCCACACTGGTAATTTCAAAATGTTGCCATCAATGTAGTTAAAAGTAGTCAAAATATTTATTTTATTTTTCTGTTAACAGTAAAAAAATTAATAGTTAATTGCATTAAATATTAATCATAGTAAAATAACTTGTTTTTTTCTTAAATATATATTCAGTAACCGTAGCTTTAAATAAATAAGCCCTCCTGCTGTAGGTAAGTGTATATCATAATAAAGTGATTAATATATCAAATAAATACATATAGGAAAGTAATTTTATAGTCTGAACGTGTAAGTAAAATGTAAATATATGTTTTGTTATACGATATATATATATTGCACGTATTGTCCAGACGCTTCATCAACACCAATATGTATTAATATACACATATATTGTATTTTGTTACGTTGGCATTATGTGTTGTCAATTAATAATTTTTAGCTGTATTTAGAATATAGCAGTGTTAAGTTGGGTTATATGTTAGGCGAGCTGTAGTAGATTTTGTACAGGCGATGTTTTATACATTGTGACATATTTATGTTCTTACATGTTACAGTAGTGGGAGGCAATAATTTTATATTTTTGAGAACACTTTAAACTATTAAGAGTTAGGATAGGGTAAAAAGAGATTATTTAGAAAAGTATTTGAAAAGTTTGAGCACAAAACCAAACATGTGAAATTTAACCCTTTCATTACCAAAAATAGATGGATAATTATTCATTTTCTTGTTCAATTTTACCACTATAAAAATATTTAGTGTTGATATTTTACTACACTATATAATACAAAATAATTTAGTATGGTGTATAAACAGATTAAATCCATTCACAGAATACGATTTTGCAAATAAACAATGCTTAATATACAGGGTGACAAAAAAGTCTGGAAACGGCTTAATAACTTTTTAACTAAATACCTTAGAAAATGTAAACCTTTCACATCAACTTATATGTATGAAAACTACCTTTTGCAAGCATTAGCATTTTTCGAACTCCGCCAGGTCGTCCCGTGGTGGAGGTCAAAAATGGTAATGCTTGCAAAAAGTAGTTTTCATTTATATAAGTTGATGTGAAAGGTTTGAATTTTCTAAGGGATATAGTTAAAAAGATATTAAGCCGTTTCCAGACTTTTTTTGTCAACCTGTATATCAAATGCATACCAAAATCACCTAATAAATACAGTATACATTTTCACACATATTATCATTAAATATTTTATTTAAAAACAATTCATGTAGTTTTGATTTGGAATTAACAACCAATGCCTATCTAGTTTTCCCTGAAAACATTTTCACCTTTTGTTATACAGCGGTATTTTTCCACACATAAACTTAAAAAGTGTTCCTTATAATCATGAAATATCTATCACAAAATAGTCTATGGGTGCAACAAGCAACTAACCTCATAAACTAAGAGGTCAGTTAGCAAAACATTACATCAACGCTACAACAAACATGTAATTAAAAATCTTGCACTTTGGAATTGCTAACAACTTGGACCTTCAATGACAAGTGTTCTTTTACATAACTACTAAAGCAAGATCCTACTTGGCCCTCTGATGCAGTATGCAGTATGCAGGATGCAGTAAGCCATTTTTGTAGCATTTCACAGCAATGAAATTGGTAATGTTTAATCATAACATTCCTCAACAACCAGTTATCAATGGCTAACTATATCCCTGAAATTTTTCAATATGCAGTTTTCAATGTCTAATTGTGCCATTCAATAGAAATACAGTTTTCAATGGCTAAGAATGTGAAATGTTACATATAGCTATAACTGTAACATTTCAAAGCAATCAAGTCTCAATAGTAACTGTAACATTTCACAGCAACGCAGTATTCAATGGTAACTGTAACATTTCACAGCAATCAAGTCTATTGGTAACTGTAACATTTCACAACTCAGTTCTCAATTGCTAACTGTAACATGAATATGAATACACTTATATTGACGTGTCCATCAGTTTCGTCTATTCTAATCTCTGGTGTTATGATAATTTTAAATTTTAAATGCCGTTGGTCAGAGGCTTTAACCAAAACAACAACTCGATTTCGAGTTGGATAAAGAAGTTGTAATATGCTCGGTGTGTCATTGTATGTGTAAACCACATATTTGTCATTCAGTTATCATCTGTATATATCAATTATATGCACATTGTAAAAGGAAACCAGGTTGAGTTGGTCCAACGTCCAGTATAGCCCGCTATACACTATTTCTTGGTACATATAGATAACATGGAATACGATTTCAATAATTAAAATACAAAAACGAAATTGAAAAATATTATATCGGGAATAATAACGTTGTCTGTGATTCAAAAATGTTTTTTAGTAACACAAATAAAGATGTACACTTTAAAGTAAGCTTGGACCAATTTCCTGGACTTCCTTTATTTCCGTTAAGTTTGTAACATAAGATAATTTAAAAATATGTTTGAGATGTATTTATTGAGAAAGTTCTAAAGCTGTATTATAATAAAAATAAAGTTACAATAAAAATAGTAAACATGTTTATTTACTTTTTCTGTTCTTGTACGGCACCTATATACCACGTGGAATCGGGCCCATACCACATCTAAAGTGAAGCTCACATTTGAGTCCAAAAGGTTCAGTACAGTCCACATAATGTTCGGTAAAAAAATCGCACCCTTTTGAGATCCGGGTTTGGATGAGAGAATAGTCCTTGGAGGCTAGATCCTTAGAGGCCTTGGAATCTTGGTTAATTTCAAACAATTGCTGAAAGACCAAAGTAAATGTAATTGAAATATTACTAGGATTCTGTGGGATTAGAAATTTTCTTTGTAGTTCTTTAACTGTTTGATGAGTTAGAACGTCTAGGATTCAGGGACTTTTATAAAATATTTTGAAAGCTATGTGGCTTAGTGCAAAATAAGATATCTACAAATATAATACATGATAATTTTCAAATACGAAAGGACTTCTCCATCATAATCTTACTTAAGCTACCAAAGCTAAAAACTGGACCCTGTAACATTTTAAATAATCGGGCATCCTTCCAGTCAAATATAATACAATAAATTTGATAAATTTGATTTTAATATAATATAATGAATTTGATACATATAATTGACAAGCTACGAATCAAAGAAGTAAAAAATAAGATGAACAAAACCAACTGAAATACTGGTGGCACTGGAGAGAAGAAGAAACATCATGATTTAGCCAGCTTTCAGTGGCAGT